AGTGAGATCTACCCCAAGAGGCTGGATCAGCTTCCTGCTGCAGAACCCAGTGAAGGGCAGGACCAGCTATCCCAGGACTCGTGAAGAGTGGGGCTGGCTCAGCACATCGCGGTTCCAATGACCCCTTGTGCTAACACAGGAAATGGGCATCATCCCAGACCCCAGCTTCAGCAGGAAAGCAGACTCAGATATTAACTTGGGAGCTGCTCAGGCCCAGATATCACCATGGCCCTGGTGGTAGCACAGGCCACCCAGATCAGTATGGCCCCAGTGGCAGCATGGCCCTCAGACACCAACATAGTCTCAGGTGGCTATGCAGGCCCTGAGTATCTGCAAAGCCCTCAGTGGTAACAGGAGCCACAGACATCAACTCAGACCCTGGTTACTGTAGGGCCATGGACCCAGACATGGCCCTTAGCAGTAGCCCTGTCCCAGAGGACACCATGGCCTGGGTGGCGGCAAGGTCCTCAGATACCCTCATGGCCATAGGTTGTGGCCCACACCCCAGACATCTATGTAGTCTTCAGTGGCAACATGGACCATGGACATCAATACAGACCCTGGCTTTGGTAGAACCTTGGACCAAGACAGGCTCCTAGGCAGCATCCTGGGCCTGGATGTTAACATGGTCCCAGGAGCAGCACAGACCACTCAAATTGTCATAGCCCCTGCAGCAGCATGGCCCTCGGACACCAACATGACCCTAGGTAGCAGCCCAGACTTGTAGCATCAGCATGGCCTTCGATGGTCTTAGGAGCTACAGATATCAACACAGACAGACCTTGGCTTCAGAAAGGTTGTGGAACCAGACATGGCCCTCAGCCATAGACCTGGTTTAGATGATAGCATGACCCCAGGTGACAGCATTAGCCATTCAAATTGGTTTGACCCTGGTGGTGACACATCCGGCAGGCACCAACATGGTCATAGGTTGTGGCCTAGACCTGGGCATCTGTGTGGCCTTTGGTGGCAACATTGGGCAGGGATATCACCCCAGACCCTGGCTGTGGTAGGAACCCAGACATGGTCCTTAGCAGCAGACCAGGCCAGTAGTATGTCACCATGGGCCCAGGTGGCAGCACAGACCACTCAGATTAGCATTGCCCCCATGGCAGTGTGGCCATTGGATAACAACCTAGCCCCAGGTGGTGGACCAGACTACAGGCCTCTGCATGGCCTTCAGTGGTAACAAGAGTCACAGACATCAACACAGGCTCCCTTGGTTGCTTTGGGGCTTTGAACCAAGACCTGGACCCATGGCAATAACCCAGGCCCAGACATCACATTGGACTCAGGTGGCTAGAAGGCCACTTCAGCCTCTTTCTCACTACCCTCGCCTCTTTAGTTCTGCCTCTCTCCCAAGCCCCTGAACCATTCTGCCCCCTTACATTTCCTCACACTGTCCTCTCTCAGCATAATGGTGTCCAACCACATGGCACTTGAGCTCTTGTTTGGGTTACAGGTGATGTGTGGTTGAGTCCTGCCCATGCCAACCTCCAGGCATGACAAGGAGCTTTTGCTTGTGCCTGGGTCTAGAAACCTTGGCTGGCACTTGGTATGATGGTACCCAGTGTGCACAGAGGTGTCAGGCAGGCTCCTAGTTGATTGTATGTACCTCACCCACCCCAGACCAAGAAGTCTGGGAGCAACCATCTGTGTCCTCAACCAACTCAGGCCTGAAAAAGGCCAGGAGCTGCTGTTATTATTTTTGTAATCATAGCCATTTTGTCATTCTGACTTGAATGAGACAGAATCTCAAAGCATTTTTTCCGTTAGGTTAGGATGTTTGAGCACCTGTGCAAATTGGGTTGCTGTAGCTATGTGAGTTTATTTCTGAGTCCACTAATACATTCCATTTGTCTAGATATTTACTTTTGGGCCCATAAAATATAGTTTTTGTTGCTTCGAGGCTGTAGTAGATTTCGAGACCTTATATTCTTCTTTCTGTGTAGGATTGTTTTGGCTATATGGATTCATCAGTGATCCCATAAGAATCCTAAGAGTGTTTCCTAGTTCTGAAAAGAATGCCATTCAAACTTTAATGGAATTGTATTGAATCAATAGATTTATTTCAGTGATACAGTCATTATCGTTTTAATTCTGCCAGGTCATGAATGTGGGAATTCTTTTCATTTTCTATTGTCTTTTTCAGTTTCTTTCCTCATTACCTGAAAGCTACTGTGAATGTGATGTATGTTTCTGAAGATAATCCTTTTGTACACTGGAAAGATTTGTCACTGTGATTGGTTCAATAAACAAGCTGCCTGACCAATCGCTGAACAGGACAAAGTTATGCGGGAAAGCCAAATTGAAAATGTTAGGAAGAAGGACACAGTCTGGAGTCACCAAGGTGCAGAGGGAGCACGGGCTGAACATGCTAAAGGTACTGCCACATGGTAGAGCACAAATAAGGAATATGGGATAACTTAAAATGTAAGATCCAGTTAGTAATAAGCCCGAGTTATTGGCCAAGCATTTGCAATTAACATTAAGCCTCTGGGTGATTATTTTTAGAGTGGCTATGGGACAGGAAAACTCTGCCTACAGTATGCCCCAATTTCTTTCCTGACAATTTCATTGTTAGTAATGGAAAGACCACTCATTTGGGTGCGTTGTTTTGTAGCCTGTTCCTTTGCTAAAAGAATTTTCTAGAGGAATATTTAGTATTTGAGATCCTTTAACTATATGATTGTGCACCTTCAAATATTTGTATTCATTTTATTTCTCTTGCTAAGACGTTGGGCACCATATAGAATAATATATATGCACACACACACACACACACAAACACACACACACACACACAGAGACAGACAGACAGACATGCACAAAGAACACCAGAGAGAATCAGAAAAGAAACTCTATAGCCGAGCCACAAAATATACAGAATGGAGAGAGGATACTGAAATCAAGAAATGTTAACATGGAAGGGGGATATCTCATAGGGTCCCAACTCCAGACAAAGAACTGCAAGCAAATAATGAATGCCCCCCTCTCCCAACTTGTTTATTCAGTACCAACTGGTCAGCCCTGAACTCATATGCATACAAACAACATAAGGATCAAGCAGGCCGTGATATATATGTTTATATATATATATGTATATGTGTGTGTATGTGTGTGTATACATATATATGAATTAAGAAAAGAGGACATGAATTTGAAAGAAATCAGGGTGTACATACGAGGGTTCAAATGGGGGAAAGGGAGGCAGAAAATTATGTAATTATATTTTAATTAAAAATAATGAGGGAGCTGGAGAGATGACTCAACAGTGAAGAGCACTGACTGCTCATCCAGAGGTCCTGAGTTCAATTCCCAGCAACCACATGGTGGCTCAAAACCATCTATGGTGAGATCTGATGCCCTCTTCTCGCATAAAGTTGTACATGCAGATAGAACATTTAAAATAAATAAATCAATATTTAAACAAACAAAATGAATTTAATTTTCTCATAAAGAAAAACCCATCACAATAACTGACATAATAATAACACCCTCTCAGTGGACACTTTAAAAGTCAGAAAAGCCTAAAGCAATGTATTCCACATTCTGAGACTGCAGATGTCAACCCAGCTAACTTAAACAAGCAAAACTACCTTCCATGGTTGAAGAAGAAAGAAGAATTTTCCACAATACAAGAAGAATTTTCCACAATACAAACTAGCTAAAAGAATTCATGTCTACCAAACCAGTCTTGCAGTGAATACCGGAAGCAATACTTCAGACTGAAAAGAATACTAAGTGTAGCCAAGAGGCCATATGCTGAAATTACTGAAACACAAATAGGGCTATGAACACAAACAGGAAAAAAAGATAACAATCAACATAAACCTTCCAAAATTATTTTATTCAATAACAAAAAATGTTACTTCAATGAGTTAAGAAACAAAATCCATTTTTTTCTGTTAGTTACAAACAGTTCATCTTAGCTTTAAGGACAGGCAGTGAAAGAATAGAGAAAAGTATTCCAAGCAAATGGGACCAGGAAAAAAGCAGGCACCGCTATCTCAATATCTGACAAAATAGTATCTAAATTCAAACTAGTAAGATGAGATAAAAGAAGGCATTCTTACAAAGGGAACAATTAATCAAGAAGTCATTACAGGGACTGGCAAGTTAGCTCAGTAGTTAAGAGTACTTGCGGCTCTTCCAGAGGACCGGAGTTCAGTTCCCAGCACCTGTGTTGGATGTCTCAGAGCCTCTTATAACTTCAGTTGTAAGGGATCTGGTATCTTCTTCTGGACTGTGTGGCTATCCACTCACACACTAAGACACACACACACACACGTAAATAAAAGTAAAATAAATCTTTTGAAAAGTCTCTTGAAACTCTCAAATAATAAAATTGTCACATTGAAAAAGGAAAAATATAATCAAAAAGGTAAAATAAAATCTTTAAAAAATAAGCATGTGAGAGTAATTTTCAAACCAATAGGTTGTCATTTAGGCATGTAGTCAATGAGATACTGCTCACTGTTTTTCACACAGCATATGTCAAATCTGTTTACCCATATGCTAAGTATTCAATAGGTACCTAAGAGTAGTAACCCATGTAGGAGGGGACATAACTTCAAAGGCTTTGCTACCCCACATATAAAAATTGTTTTGGAATTGACATTTCATTTCATTTGCACCACAATAAAATAACCAAAATAGATTTGCCTTTCATTGAAAGTAAGGTGACCAAAGAAGTGAAAAATAGAAACGAGTGAGAAATATTTATCTAAATAAAGCTTCCAATATTTCACTTTTTTAAACCTTATTTTTTCACTTTATCAAATATTGTCAAACATATCTATAACAGGTAAGAAATTGCACATGTAACTGAATAGATTCATGGAGTTTTAACTAAAGCCTTAAACTTCACCTTCCTGTTTATAAAATAGTTCTAGTTTTTTATTTTAATTACTTAGCTGCAATAAAATAATTAAAAACAAGTATTAAGTGCTTGTTATCCCTGTCAAATGAACATGAAAAAATAAAACAGAATTACAGTGTTGCCTCCAAATCATGCCTAAGTTTTATTTTATCCCATGATATTGTTTCATTTGGAACTTGTGTGAACGATGTTAAATTCATAAGGAGGAATATCGCTACTGGGTAATGAACTTTTGGGTGACATCAGTGTTGATGAAACTTTGTTGGGCTTCTCAGAAGTGGAAAAACCTAAATTTCAATAAGTTCAGTAAGCCTTCCTTCTTCATCCTTTTCTTCCTATTCTTCTTAACTACAGATAAAAATGAGAGAAAATGAGCAATTATACAAGATTAATCTGCGGCCTGAATTTAAGAAAATGATCCGCCCTGGGTGCATGCCTGCTGCATTTGTGCACTATCTTAACAATCACAGAAAATCAACATGCTTTGTTCTTATAAATAAAATTCATGGCTATTAGGGTGCTTATGCAACTGATCATGTGACTACACCAATTTTTTTGGTGTGTGTGTGTGTGTGTGTATGTGTACTCAACTCTGAATCGAACTCATAGTCCTGCACATGCCTACTCCATGCGCCAGATCATCAGCCTTATATGTGTTTGTTTATTCTGCTGAAAGTTTGTGCTGCCGTGTAAAGAAATCTGCCGAGCTGTAAAAGCCAGTGCTAGTTTCACAGGTGATGCTTTCTTACCCTCCCAGACATTTGGCTTCCACATATTTTGTGGAGCACTCAGCTGCAAAAATTCAGGAAAAAAGAACAGAAAGAAAGAAAAAGAAAAGAAAGAGAATGCTAATCACTTAAAGATACTGAAAGAAAAGATATCCCTTAAATTTGGCACTAAATGACCATGTTAGGACTAAATTTCTTTTGACTGGCATAAAATATAAAAATCTACAGCTAAATGAATATTTAGGTGTTAACCATGAAAAACAATCCCACTTGAAGTGTCTAACTTTTTACTATTTGTCTGCAATAGTTTAAAAGGCATTGTTTCTGACACTATAGGTGACTGTATAACTGTGGCTGAGCACTAAGGACTCAGTGCCCAACCCAGCCACCATCACAGTTAACTCCTGACAACTGTTCTCTAAGCAGATACTGGACTATATTTGATACAGGTATTAAGTCTAATAGTTTTACCACTTGTTACTAGTCTAACATTGGTGGACCTAAGACCTCAGAATAATCAAGGAATCGCCACAAAGAATACACTACATTTCAGATTAGTAAGTACATGGTTATTTTAGTCACATTCTAAGAAAGTTAAATTGAGCTGGGCATTGGTGACACACACCTTTAATCCCAGCACTCGGGAGGCAGAGGTAGGCGGATCTCTGTGAGTTCGAGGCCAGCCTGGTCTAAGAGCGAGTTCCAGGACATGCTCCAAAACAATACAGAGAAACCCTGTCTCGAAAAACCAAAAAAAAAGAAAGTTAAATTTAATTTTGTTTGAATTAAAAATAGTTTTCCTCAATGAATTAATCAGAATTTAAACAAGAAGGCCCAACTGAAAAGTGACTATAGGGGTGGTGATTGATACTCAAAAATATGCACAGAAACCTGGATTTTCTGGTGTTGTGGTCTGCTGGATCCGGGTCCATTTCATTAAGTGCTTCTTGGTTTTTCTTTTCTTCTCCTTCTTTTTCTTCCTCCTCATCAAAGATGTTATCAACTTCATTCCAGGCATCATAATGATATTCGCCTATTTAGTTAGTAAAGATCATTAAAAGCCAGGCAGAAAAAATAGCCTAATTCCCAACCAATAGTACCATGCACATCTGCTCTCAAGAGAAGCAGAGGGACATGAGTGAGCACGAAAACCATAGTTGTGTACCTTCCTTCTGTCCATGCTACCCTCCCCTAATCTTCACATTGTTGCCACCTGATATCTGCTCTGTGACATTTCTTCCCCCTTCCCAGCAAATATCCCAAGCAATGATGGTCATTTCTTTTCCTTTGAAAAAGTCATCAGAGGCTTTGGCCACCTTGCATCCATTACACCAAGATACTTGCTTGCCTCAAGTACAAATTCTGTGGTGAATTCGTTTTCTCAAGCCATGAATCCTGACACTTCTTTTCCTAGCAAGTGCTCCAAAACTAGTTCATCAATTCAGAGAATTAAAATTTAAAAACCTTTACACTCTTAAAAGCCATAAACAAAATGAGGATCATCGTTTGTTTGCTCTTTTGCTTTCAAGACTTCCTTTCTATTAGCTCCCAAAGTCTCTTTTGGATACAATACCAATCTGGGCTACCTGAGAAGGTTTAAAATAAAAAACCTGTAAAGATTGCCATAGAACTGGCCTGGTGATACAGGCATGTAATCCCAGGACTCAGTGTCCAGGGATTGTGAGTAAAAGTCAACTTGTGCTACATAGTGCATCTCAGGCCAGTCCAGGCTAGATAATGTAACCCTGTCTTAAAACAAATGAACAAAAGCAAAACCAATAACAAATGAGCCAGTTTTTTTCTACTTCTGATTATTCAAGACAGGGTTTGTCTATGTAACAGGTCTAGCTGTCCTAGAACCCGCTTGAGGGTAGTCTCAATCACAGAGATTCCCCTGTGTCTGCCTCCTGAGTGTTGGGATTAAAGGTTTTTACCACTGCCTGGCATGAACCAGTTTTTTTTTTCTTTACAAGACAGGGTTTCTCTGTTTTGGAGGCTGTCGGTCTAGCCTGGCCTCGAACTCACAGAGATCCGCCTGCCTCTGCCTCCCGAGTCCTGGGATTAAAGGCGTGTGCCACCAACGCCCGGCTAACCAGATCCATTTGGCCTTAGAAGCCAGACCTGCCTAAGTATTGCTTTCCCCACTAGAGGCCAGCACTGAGCAAGGCCAATTTAGCGGGGGGGGGGGGGGGAGCAGTCTCCCTCCCAGTGCCAATCTTTTTTTATTACTTTAATTTTAAATAGCTTGCTTCACATGTCAATCCCAATTCCCTCTCCCTCCCCTCCTCCCGCACCCCCTACCATCCCCCCCATCCTCCCACCCTACCCCCACTTCCTTCCACATAGGGGATATCTAGAGTCTGCCATTTCACTCGGGGCAGGGTCTAGGCAATCTTTGTCCTTATTCCCTGCCTTTCCAGTGTTTCCCAGCACCAACCGCCTCATCTAGTCCCCTAGGTCTTGCTTGCCTGCTTACCCTCTAAGGCCATGCTTTGTTTCATGAATTCCTTTTCCGGCTCTTCTGCTGTTGCCTGTTCTTCCACTTCTTCTATTGCTTGCCCTACTCCTTCCACCGCTGCTGCCCTAACTGCAGGCTCCTGTGTGCAAAGATCTGGCTCCCGCAGGTAATGATGCGTTGTTTCCTCGAAGTCTGTAGGTTCCTCCAGCTCTGGAAATGTGGAGATAACCTCTGGTAGGCTTAGGATCGGGCCCGAGGGCTGGTTGTCATACTCTGCGGCTCTCACTGTTGATGGAGGGGGCCCAGGTGGTATTTGCATTACACTTGAGTGGCCAGATGTAGAAGGGCCAGGTGTTTCCGCCACGGGGTTTTCACAGGGGCGCCTTAGGACGTGGTCGTTGTAATAGACACGGTTGAGAATGGCGTGGATCAGATCCAGAAACATAAATCGGAAGCCAGCCATTGGGAATCGATGGGCGTCTACCATGCCTTGATCTGATACAGTGTTTTCCTCCTCCTCTTCTCCTTCCTCCTCCTCCTCAACAGGTTCAATATCTGAGTCTTCCTCAGCATCTGCGCTCTCTCCCGTGTAACCCTCTTGCGCTGGGTTTCTTTCAGGCCCAACATTCTCCACCTCCCTAGGATGAACTGCCGGTGTGACACAAGCCCCATCTAGGCCGGACTCCAGGCCTACCCTGCCGCCCTCTGTGGCTTCCTGTACCCACTCTCCCTCAAGGGTTACTGGGTTATCTCGGCTCTCTTTAGTTGGATCTTGATCTCCTCTGGTAGACATGATGCTATTAGGCACCTCACCAAGGCCTAGATTGAACTGGGTTAATGACGATAATGGCTACTCCGATGTAACGGCCAGGATGCTGTTAGATGACTATGGATAACGGCGACAACAGGCTGAATTGTGATTAGGAAGTCGCTGGCCCCTAAAGACAGTCAGCAGGGGCCTTAGAGGACCAGGAGCTTCGAAAGAGACAGCAGGTGAAAGGATAAAAGTCTATGGTAGTACCTGAGGTGGTCCCATGGAAACAGCAGGAGCGAGAGGGCTCAAGAGGCCAATACAGGTGGAGGCCGACTCACGCGGCTCTTCTAGCATCCGGGGACTAGATGGAAAGTGCTTGTGTCACAGGTGGTGGGGGCGGGGCTTATGAAGGCTATGTAACTTTTTTTTAACCACATAGTCAGCTTTAAGCTAATTTGTTGACAAGATTGACGTGGTCAACATCCAATGACTGAGTAAAAAAATCTCCCATTTCTAGAAAACATCATCTTCTCTTTCTTTGTGTCTTAAGAAAAACAGGGCTCTCTTTGTGTTAAAATTAGTCCTATCCCCCTTCTCCCCTCCTCTTAAAGGTGTCCGTGCTAGTGTATGCCAAGTGAATGCTAGAACCTAAGCGGCTCAAGAGGGCATCGGATTCCACTAGAACTGACATTAACAGCGTTGGTGAGCACGGATGTCAGTGCTGGAAACAGAACTCGGGTCCTTTGGAAGAGAAGCAAATGCTTTTAGCCTCTGAGCTATCTGTCCTGTCCCAGCCCTATCCTCTTGATTCTATGGTTATCACCTAAGATATAGTTGTGCAATATGAAGGGTCCTACGTGACGCAAGCTTCTGCAAAGTGTGCAGAGTATTTTAGGCTCACAAGTTTCCAGAAAAAGCCTGAAATCTGCATTATATATTTCCATGAAAGGAAAGAAAACAAATTTCCACAAGCGCTTTAAATTAAAACACAATAAATACATTCCACAAACACTTTAAATTAAAATACAATAAATGCATTCATTTAAAAAGGAATTAAGGCTTATAGACATCAAACACTAAACTTTTGGGAGGCCAATATTGCCTAAATGGACTTCAATTTTAGTTTTCTCTTTTGTCAAAATTGATTGCAAATGTTTATCTGTTGATTTGTAAGCAGCTTCATATATTTTTTAAAAATTGGAATATTTTATTAAGATTGCACATTCATGGGCTGGAGAGGTAGCTCAGTGTTTGAGAGAACCTGACTGCTCTTCTGAGGACTCTGGATCAATTCACAGCACACAAAAAGGCAGATCCCAATTGAAGCACATAGATTAATAGAAATGTATTAATTTAAGTTGCAAGAGCTAGTTAGTTATAAGTCTGAGTTATCATCCAAGAATTTCCAATTAATAATAAGGCTCTATGTTTGCTATTTCGGCACTGGAGGCTAGGAAAGAAAACTTCTGACTACAAATGGCGTTCCAACGTGGGGCTAGAATTTCCACATAAAAACTGACAAAGCTTAAAAAAGGATTCTAAACACACAAAAACAGAGTCAAGTGTGGCTTCTTGGTAACTGACTTTTCTCAGGTAGACTAGAGACAAGCAGAGACACGGGTCCTTTAACAGACAGCTTCCTGACTCAGTGTTAGCAGAAACAACAACAACAACAACAACAACAAAACAACTGTGTCACTCTTTTTTAAGAGGCCATGCTACTGAACACTTAAATGGGGTTTATGAGCAGCAGGTGACACATTGCTCAGTGGCAGCATGCATCCCAAAACTCCCCAGAGTTGGTTCAGTAAATGAGGCTCTCACCAGCCAGTGCCTCCACCATGAAACTAGGCTCTCAGGGAACCAAGTGGAGCAGAGCCAGCTGTCAAAGCAGAGGCTTTGGTCCTAGTCATACCATTTAACAATTTAAAGGCTCCTGTGGTCAAAATAAATTACAGATACACAAAAGGACAGATTCAAAGGTTAAAAAAGCCCTCTATATATGTTATAGTGTATTTAAAAATATACATAGGCTTAAGAGAGAAAAGAAAACAGAGACAGTCATAAAAAAGACTGTATATAGTTTAAAAAATAAAGTCCTTAAAATAGAGCAAAGTAATATAAAAGAAATAAGTCATGTAAAGATGTAAAATATACAGAGAATCTGAATTTTATATGTTATTGTGTTGTTTTTAATTTTTTGGTTGTTAAGAGACACTGGATTATAAAAGGTACTAGATTAAACCAATCTATACACTTAAAAGATATCTTGACCTCAAAAGACATGTTACTTTAGGAGAGAGGTTATGCTTTTATTTCCACAGAAAATGAGAGGCTATGGATTCATTCCAGGTTAAAGAAAGCCAGGTTTGATACAGGAAGACTCCCTGAAAAATCTGACTACAAATACAAAGAAATTAGAAGAATTAATAACAAGATGTGTGATGTATATTTTATATGCTCAAACACATAAAACAGAAAATCATCTTTGCCTGACTTATGTACAATGCACAATCTATACTTGTACTAATATAGGTATGTATGTTACCTTTAAAAGTTTATGCATTTTCAGAGCAAAGGGACCAGACACTAATAAAAATAGATGGGTCAGGTGATCCAGCCTTAAGGCTTCTGGTTGAGATGGTACAGCCTCACAGAGTACTCCAGTCAGGACTTAACCATAATCCTAATTTTTTTCAGGGTTCCCCAAAGATAACAGCACCCATAAGCAATAGAGAACTACATCCACATTCCCAAAAGATGGGTTATGGATATTTATTATCATTTAAGGGGGTTAGTTACAAGTTGTTATTGGTAATGGTCAGAAAAAAGCATAACAAAGGAGATTATATTCAGGGATCTCTTTCTGAAAAAGAGAAAAGGGGGACATAGAAATGATGTCTGGGAAACAGATAGGACCTTAAAAGAGATATGCATGGTACCCCAGAAAAGGGGAATGAGGCTAGATCACCTGAGCAGAGAGGGAGAGGGAGCTGGGGAAAAAGAGAGGGAGAGAAGAGGAGGGGAGAGGAGGACATGGGGGAACAGGAAGGTTGAGTTGGGGGAATAATAGAGGAGAGCAAGATGAGAGATACCATAGTAGAGGGAGTCATTCTAGGTTTGAAGAGAGATCTGGCACTAGTGAGATTTCCAGAGATCTACAAGGATGACACCAACTGGCACACTAAACAATAGTGAAGAGACTATCTTAAATGGTCCTCCCTCGTAATGAGATTGACTTCTTCCTTATATGCCATCCTAGAACCTTCAACCAATGACTGATGGAAGCAGAGGCAGACAGCCACAGCTATATACTGAACTGAACCCCTGGAACCCAGTGACAGAGAGGGAGGACTGATGAGCAAAGGGGTCAAGACTGGCCTGATTTAACACACAGAAACAGTTGACCTGAATAAGGGGGAGATCTTGGATCCCTGACTGATGGCCGGGAGGCCAGCATGGGACTGACCCAGACCCTCTGAATGTGGGCAATCTATGGGGCCTTGGGTAGTATTTATCCCTTGCATACAAATGGACTTTGAGTGCCCATCGCACAATGAGGGATGCTCTATCAGCTGGGACTCTTGGGGGGAGGATCTAGGCCCTACCCTGGACAAAATGACAGACTCTGGAGATCCCCCATGGAGGGCCTCACCCTCCCTGGGGAATGGGTGGAGGGCTGGGGAGTTTGGTGGAGGGGCGTGGGAGGAGGTGAGGGAGCTGGGATTGACATGTGAAGCAACCTTGTTTCTAATTTAAATAAGAAAGAAATGATGAGATAAAAGTGTAGATTATTGAATCTACTTTAATCTGAAAACAATTATTAATCTCAAATTATTTTACATTGATATGGGTTTTGGTTTATTAATACAAATTTAAAGTTAATTTTTTCATACAGTATTTATGTTACTACTCTTGTTTAGGGTATTGTGTTTATTAATTTTTTTTTGGTTTTTTGAGGCAGGGTTTCTCTGTGTAACAGCCCTAGCTGTCCTGGAACTAGCTCTGTAGACCAGACTGGCCACAAACTCACAGAGATCACTGCCTCCCGAGTGCTGGGATTAAAGGTGTGTGTCACCATTGGTATTGTGTTTATGCATCTCATTTAAAATGTAATGAATAATTAAGAAATACAAATTAATATTCATCTATAATAGTCAAACTTATAGTCAGGTATGTTTTCAAGGTCATACACAGATATATTTAGATAGATATATGGTCTTCAAATACTTCAAAGACCTACATAATATGTCATTTAATGTTTAATAACAAAGTTTTTCATGACAGCAAGACACGTCTACCCCTGACATCATCAATCTACTTCAGAAAAGATGATGGGTCTCAAGGCACCTCCATATGGAGTGAAACCTTGCCTCAAAATCCCGAAAATAAAAATAAGAATAGTCACTAATTGCAAGGGGACTCAGCCCCTGATGGATTAGCTCATGCAAGCCATCAGAGATGGATTCAAACAGAGCCTAGATATGGCATAGAGCTTTAGCGGCTTTGCTGAGCTCTTTGCTGGGGCAGGGACTTTATGAAGCATGGACAGCTTTGGGGGATCTAAGTGAGTTAGATCAGCAAGTAAAAGGTGTCAAGGCAGCCTTGAGTAAGAAAAAGTCAAATTTGAGGAAGAGTTACTGGAAGGCAAATGTGGCAATATTTGTGTTGGGCCCAAATTCCTAAGCAGGGGTGGGGGAGGTGGGGAGTGAGGGGTGGGGGGTGGGGAGTGGGAGGTTGAGGTGGGGAATGACAGTAAGCCAAATCCTGTGCAAAGAACTTGTGGAAGGTAATCTGCCCGAGAAGAAGTGTTCAGAAGGCCTTCATGATTAAAAAGAAGAAGAAAAAAATAAAAGAAATAATATAGGTTCAGAAGATCAAGTTAGTATAGGGGGTGGGCAATTAGCCCTCCAGGCTAAGCAGAATTTCTTCTTGTCTTGCACATTGTCCAAGTGTACACCAGGGCTGAAGATGGTTTGCCCCGGTGTGGTGGCTGGGGAGGCTGAAGCAGCAGCTTCAGTCACAGTGTCATCAGTCCAGAGCCTCTCTGACCCAGGGAACCAGCCAGAGCAGCACGACCAGTAGGGGGTGGACAAGATGTCACTCACCAATAACCCTGAGCAGGCCTGAGCCACATAAGCCAGCCTCACCAAGCTCATCAGGGCTGGGGAAATGCAGGGACGTTCTATGGAAGATTATGGAGGTTATGGAACTGGGATGGCTCAGAATGACTGACGGTTGTGAAAAGTGAGCTCGGTGCCTCCTGCTCATGCTCCTGTATCCAATGCGGATCTGTGGCAGAGACAATTAATACTAATGGCTAGACTCTTCTCTTGTTGTGTTAGACCTTGCTTATGTTTGACTTCGGCATCTCCTTAGTTGTGGCCTTCTGTGGGTATGGACTCTCAAAGTGCTTTACCAAGATT